CCGCTCAGGATGATGATGGACTTGAAGGTTGGTGTTGGGATTTGGGGCTGAAAGTGAAGTGAAAGAATGTTGTTTATTGACGTGTGTATCAATTAGATCTTTGATTGTTTGGTCTGCTCCCATGGTGATTACTTCCGATTGTTTATTTGAGTTCAGTTGCGTGTTTGGTACAGTTTGTATTAGGCAGTGAGAACAATGTGATTTAAACTCTGATAATATAATCTGCTACAGCAAACAACCCCCCCAGAATAAGGCATTTATGGTCTTAGAATAAAAGCTTAAAGGAACAGTTCAACATTTTCCTTTCACAGAGAGAGATGTTCAGATGAGCATCAAATCTGTTTTAAGCCACAGTGACCATTAAGTTCATCTCTCTCACAAAGGCCATTCCACCCTGATTGCCATACATGCAAACCTCTGCGCACATCTGTATGTCTGTGAAGCTCTTACTAACCATCCGTCCCTGTGTTGTAGATCCCAGTCCAGAGCTGGATGTGGTGGAGGCCAACAGGAAGTTCATGGAGGTCAGTGAGGAGCTGTATGATGCTCTGATCGAGTGTCACTGGCAGCCAGCAGAGTTCTCTATAGAACAGGAACATATGACGTCCAGCCTACCAGAACCCATTTACTGCTGAGACTTGACACGTTTTCCTCTCTGGACTTCCCCCCCGTTTCCTGAGATGTTGACAGTATGGATTATTTTTGTAAGGACACATGGTAACAGATCTTATTCATGTGTATAAACCAGTGGAAATGCAAATCTGTGTACACACATTTCTGAGTTACAACAAATAAATATTTTTGATTTATTTGAATCTACAAAACATGTTGAATGGACTATAGGTTCAAGTGAGAAATCTTTTTTTCCAACATTGTCTCAAAGTGTTAAAAATCAAACCTTAAAAACTGAACTAAACCAAAAACTGGCAGCACCCACCACCACACAACCGGCTGACCTCACACAGGTTTGTGTCAGTGTTGAATAGTATTTGTAATGCTACACAAATACAAACAGTATTTGTCATTAAAGCCCCATATGTAGAGGTGTAGATTATTCTGTTTTCTGTCTCATCCTGTCTCTGTTGATGCTGAGTCCGTATGTGTTATTTTGTTTCCAGGGTTCAGTAAACGCCTGGTTTAACATACATCTGGAGCTGTTGTCATGGCAACAAGTACTTAAACCCAAACAGGAAAAAGGTTTTTCGAAAGGTTACATTAACTATTTTTTTAATTTGAAAACATAAAATATGGAAAAAATAATGAAAATCTGTTTCATTTAAATCTCCATCCAGTCTAAAGGTCTCTGTCCATGTGTAGTGTGATTATAGATCAGGTCTAGATTTTATATTAATACTGTGAAAGTATCAAAGCCTCAGTCCACAGAGAAATGCACACAGCCTGTATTCAGAAACTGAGCCTTAAAACCAGCCGTCAGACGCCTGCACTATGAAGCAAGTTCAACAAACCGGGGATAAGGTTTTTGGATTCTAAAACCACAGATATATCTTCTTATGGATCAACACTTCAAATAAAACACAGGAGAAGAGGGAAATGATGAGCTCTTTATGTGCCCAAACCTATTAAGTATGAATGACATATACACTCCCCTCCAAAAGTATTGGAACAGTGAGGCCAATTCCTTTATTTTTGCTGTAGACTAAAAAACATTTGGGTTTGACATCAAAAGATGAATATGAGACAAGAGATCAACATTTCAGCTTTTATTTCCAGGTATTTACATCTGGATCTGATACACAACTTAGACGAAAGAATTATTTGTAACGGAACACCAACTTTTTAGGTGAGCAAAAGTATTGGAACATGTGACTGACAGGTGTGTTTTGTTGCCCAGGTGTGTCCTATTACATTGATTGTTCAAACAGTAAATAGCGCTGAATGTCTACACTCAGTTTCAGATTTGGGTTTTGCCTGTGCAGACTGCATTTATAGTTAGAGGTGTAACCAACATGAAAACCAGAGAGCTGTCTATGGGTGAAGCTGAGCGAAGATGGAAAATCAATCAGAGCCATTGCACAAACATTGGCCATAGCCAGTACAACCACTGGGAATGTCCTGAAGAAGAAAGGAACCACTGGAGACAATGACCCTGAACATCAGAGTAAATCTACTACGGAATGACTTCATCCACCTTATGGAGTGGTCCAGTCAGAGCCCAGACCTTCATCCAGTAGAGATGCTGAAGAGAAACATGTAAACCAGACATCCTGAGAGTCTATCTGACTGAAGCAGTTCTATAAGAAGAATGCTCCAAGCTTCAACCAGCACTGTGAATGTTTAATGGCTGTGTTCAATAAAGACAAAATAGTATAATTGTTTGTGCTGTATTAGTTTAGAGATGGTGTGTTTGCCTATTTGTGACTTAGATGAAGATCAGATCACATTTTATGACAAGTCAGGGCAGAAAACCAGGTCATTCCAAACGTTCACTGACTTTCTCTTGCCGCTATATAAGCTGTTCAGTTCTCCATGGGTTATTGCATTGTGTTAGAACAGTGTTTGTCAGCACTACTTGCAGACATGGACTGAATATAGTGTTGGCACAGTAAATCTATCAGCTGTGTCACTGTCTATAGAGCAGTGTGTTTGTGTCTCTGAAGGCTGATTTACATGATGTTACTGGGATAAACTGGAAGCTTGGAAATAAGAATCAACTTGTATAACAACACATCCAAAATAAACTGTTCATCTTATTATCATTTGGTTGTATCCAAATGAGCTCCTCATACAAGTGACCGGTAATGGATTTCCAAACTGCTGATCAATGCTGTTCATTTTATCACAGGAATTCCAACTGTGTCAAGTTTTTATTCCTCTGCGCCGGTGACAGTCAGAGCCGCCATATTGTTTTCAGGTTGTTAGTCTGTCCCATTCACGATATCTCAGTAACACCTTGATGGAACTTCTTCAAATTTGGCACAAACATTCACTAGGACTCATGGTTGAACTGATTAGATTTTGGTGGCTAAGGGTCAAAGTTCAAGTTCGTTGTGACCTCACAAACCTCTTTTTAGCCATTACTCAAGTCTTCACAGCAATAATGACAAAATGTCAGGCAAATGCTTCATATTTTCTATGACTCTGGATAAACAGGGCTGTAATCTGAAACCAGTCTGAGTGGTGGAGGGATACAACAGTGAGGCGGCTATTCTACACATTCCAAATCAAAGTGTCTGAGCAGAAAAGGTTTCATCCCAGGTGAGTTGTATTCAGGAAGAAAACTGCGAAACAATAGTTAATAAGCTTGTTATAGAAGCAGCACCTTATTCAGATACATCACAGTATTAACTCCTCCAGGTCTGTTTCTGTCTCTCTACCTTTTGTACTGTCAAACATACACTTATGAACCCTGTAGTGCACATCAATAGAATTAGCTGTAATGCTAAATGTGTCACACAGGGCGACAGACAGGAGAGTGTGTGCTTTTTTTCCCTATAGGTCAGAACAACCGATTCCTCTAGTCCTGCAGTCCTTGTCTGTACGACCCCCCACTGTTGATCGCGGGTCCTTGGTAGGTACTTACATGCTCCTGTCAGAAAATAGAGCATAATGCACACAGGGGGTTCACACCATCCTCCCAGGTCCCACCCCACACACAGTCCAACCAGAAGGCTGCAGCAACAAGCAACAAGCACACAATCCCGTGAATTAAATTACTCTTTAAACATCTCTCCTGATTAAAATTAAAAACAGCGGCTCTGTAGGTCGGATTAATAAAAGAACTATAAAAATGTCTTAAATGTCAAAAATCTGAAATATTTTTTCTCTGCCTGGTCTGTTACTTCTGCTTGTAATCTGGATCATGGATCATATATTCTACTCACATTTTACTTGTCTATCATCATTTCCAGAAGGCTATAGTTTCATCTGAGATATATTTCCTTTAGCATGTATTCAGAAACTGAGCCTTAAAACCAGCTGTCAGGACTTAGAACTTTGTGATGTCACAACAAAGCAGTCACCACTCTCAGCCACGCCCCAAGCCCCGCCCACTTGGACCCACCATCCAACCTTGCAGTATTTGGTTTCAGTGAGTGTTTACCTGAAATCTGCTTTATTTTTATTGGATCACTCAGAAAAAAGTCAACCAATCAGAAGAGAGGCTCAGAGCCTCTTCTCTTCTGATTGGCTCACTGACCTGTTGTTGCTATAGCATCTTATCCTGGTTTACCCTATATGAAATGTGTGTGAAACAGTTCATGAAGTGTCAATCAAACCAAATCACCATGAGGTGTGGGCAGCTTCAGATCAACACGAGTAGGAACTCTGTCCACTGTCTTTTCCCTTGTGTTCCACTAGGTGGAGACAGGTAGCCGCGCCTTTCTCCTCTGACTCTGGTATTAGATGTATGGTGACTATAGCTCTGTACTAAATGTACTTTCAGTTTACGCCACTGAGTTTGGTTCAAAACATTTCAGACTCGCCTGGGAAACGGAGACACCCCCCGTTCACCATGTTGCTGGCTTTGTGGACCTGTGACTGCTTTTATTTTGAAAAACAGGGTGTACCGTGAGGCGGAGGTGTGAGCTGCTGCTCACTTGAGTGTGCTGGTCCATGGAAGCGGCTGCAGACAGAGCACAGCGCGGAACAGGGCTGGGCTGTGCTGGCTGAGGAGTCCTCTCCCGCCGGACATGCTGGGTTAGCGGGCTTAACCGGGTGAACATCTGGGCTGTGCACAGTCCGGAGACTGGTCATCCCGCACGATCAGGATGTTGTGCGTCGGCAAACTATGAACAAGCTGCAACAGGATCCAAGAAATACAGGCAAGTTTCCAGAAGTGAGCGGCCGCTGGACTTTTGACTGTGAGGCTGGAGGACTGTGGTGGAGAGACTGTGGTTTGTTACAGAGCAGGTAGAAAGCTGCAGCTGCTGTGGACTGTCACAAGTGACGGTGTGTGTGTGTGTGGTGTGTGTGTGGTGTGTTGTCGGTGAGGAATGCAGCAGCACGGTCAGACTCTCCTGTCTGTCTCTAACCTCCATACAGAACACACATTTTTAGGGGAGATAATCCGGCGCGGTTTGGCTCGGCTCGGCTCGGCAGTCAGCGGCTGTCCGTCGTTAAGGTAAAGATAACCACTTTGTTTACTGTCGATTGAAGAAGCCATATGCGGATTTTTCTGCTCAGCTTCATTCACAATAACCGCGGTGTGCTGCTGTTGCCTGTGCATCACAGAGAGCGATGCGCACGGCTCCAGCCCCCCCACACCCTGCTGTGAGGGGATCACACGGCATCATCTCCGAACACTGTGTCTGCTCCCGTCATGAAGCGCAACTTGTGGCTTCTCAGGAGTGACTTGGCTCCGGTCCAGCTTCCTCTGCTGGCTGAAGAGCAGCAGATGAGCGCAATGGTGGCTCTATGACACAGTGGATGCACGCTGCCCGTGTCAGGCATCACCTCAGTGGGGCCGGAATCAAAGTGCGTTCCGGCTGACACTGCTCTCTGTAATGAAACATCGCCGTAGCCTGGGTGTCTGAGCATCCTCTGGATCAGATGTGTGTTTACACTCAGCTGCAGCCTCCACCAACAGAAACTTGTGTCAGAGCTGGTGAATGCAGTGAATCCGTGGTCATGTTTGTGTTACTGCAGTCATAATCCAAAAGGATATGATATACCGGTTACTGGTAAGACTGCGCCTCTCAGCTCAGATTTCAGATTCAAAAACAAAGCAACATGTAATGAAATGAGCCAGACATGTTAGACAAGCATTGTGTAATATCAGCCGTTTACAGCCTTTGTCTAAATAACACACAGTGTGAGATTTAGAGATTGATTAACTAATTAATCAATTGTTTCAGCTCCAATTAACTTAACAAAATTATTGAATAAGGTATTATTAAAGGACAAGTGAATGTGATTCTTACCAAGAAACAGTAGCTTTGCTGGGCACAATTCAGTTTGGGTTCAAATGATACTGACATGCTGTATACACCCCCGCCCAGCAAGTAGAAACTGGACATGCAGGAAGCTCCAAGTGGATGTTAAAAGTCCATATAGTATAAAGGTCTCTGTCCATGTGTAGTTTGATTATAGATCAGGTCTAGGTTCTATATTAATACTCTGAAAGTATCAACGCCTCAGTCCACAGAGAAATGCACACGTCCTGTATTCAGAAACTGAGCCTTAAAACCAGCCGTCAGGACTTCTGGAACTTTGTGATGTCACAACAAAGAAGTAACTGCTCTCAGCCACTCCCCAAGCCCCGCCCACCTGGACCCACCAGCCAAAATTGCAGGATTTGGTTTCTCTCAGTGTTTACCTGAAATCTGCTATATTTTTTATTGGATCACTCAGAAAACAGTCACCCAATCAGAGGAGAGGCTCAGAGCCTCCTCTCTTCTGATTGGCTCACTGACCTGTTGTTACTAGAGCTCCAGAGAGAAGTCTCAGAGAGGAGAATTAAAACTACATTGAGATGGTTTTTTGACTCTTAAAACCACAAATGTAGCTTCTTATGGATCATGTAAAATATGGACCTTCAGGGAATCCTGTTAGATTTTAAACTTATTTAATTCAGATGTGAAAATTAATTCTTTAGCTTGACATGCTAGTTTTTTCAGGAATTTTAACCAAGTCTCATGGTCCTCATCAGCAGATGGTGATTGCTCAGTTCTTGTGGAGACAGCTCAGTTGTCATCACGTAACCAGGGGTAACGATCTAGTCCTGAGATGAAGTTTAAAACTCTTACATTGTCCCAAACGCAGAGCTGAGAAACTAATGCATGTCCTCTTCATCATCCTCAACCACTGCATTTTCTTTGTACCAAGACTTTACCAGTGCAAGCTGAAAATATTCAATATGTGCAGATTAGTTTCTCAAAATGAAAATCTCCCATAGATAGTTATAGCTGCTGTGTCAGACACGTTAAGTCATCGGATGCTCAGGTTCTTAATCTTGTTTAACTTAAAGCTGCATCAGTTGATTTTTTTTTGGCTGCAGCCAGTGCTGACTGACATTTGCCAGACAATCACTGGGCTGGCACATAAAGACACACAAACACTCACACTCCCATTCATTTAGAGTTGCCAGTGAGGCAGGAAAACAGAGCACCCAGACAACAACATGCACCCAGAACCTTCTTGCTGTGAGAGGAAGGTGCTGACCGCTGCACCACTGGGCTGCTGGATGTTAACATTGTGGCTGTAAAACCAAAACAACGAGCTGAAGAGTCTGAAGAGTATTTGTCACTCAAAGAGTAGTGGATTTGTCGATTTACTTTAAAAATACTGATTCATATTGATTAATTGATTGAAGCTCCATATTTTCCTCCTTTTATTTGAAGTGTTGATCCATAAGAAGATATATTTGTGGTTTTAAGAACCAAAAACCATCTCAGTGTAGTTTTACATCTCCTCTCTCAGACTTCTCTCTGGAGCTGTAGTAAATACAGCTCAGTGAGCCAATCAGAAGAGAGGAGGCTCTGAGCCTCTCTTCTGATCTGGGCGGGGCTTGGGGTGTGGCTGAGAGCAGTGACTTCTTTGTTGTGACATCACAAAGTTCCAGAAGTCCTGACGGCTGGTTTTAAGAGTTTCTGAATACAGGCTGTGTGCATTTCTCTGTGGACTGAGGCTTTGATACTTTCACAGTATCAATACAGAACCTAGACCTGCTTTATAATCAAACAGCACGTGGACATCTACCTTTAGACTATATGGACCTTTAAGTATCAAGACATTGATGCACACTTATGTTTTGGGGAGTTTGGCTTATTTTGTTTTTAGGTTGAATAAGAATCTTTCTTTTGTCTTTTTATGGGGAATGATCTGTTATCATATAGATACAGTATATAGATAGATAGATAGATACATAGATAGATAGATAGGTAGATAGACAAATTCATCTAAAATATAGCAGATGTGATAAATAAAAGCCCAGGTGAGCAGTCTGTTCTGTATGGAAGCTGAGAAAGGCCATACTTGCAAATATTTTTTTATCTGGTTATCCCAAGATAACGAGATTTTATGAGGAGAAAATGATTTTTGTTTTCCTGAGATAACAAGAGAATTATACTTTAGTAAAGTTGGAAAGATAGTCCCAGATTCTAACTCCCCGGTTCAACAACTCATAGCGGAAACATTGTAATAACAGAAACAATACCTCTTTCCTACTGTGTTAAGGTAGACAACAAGCTACAACCTAGTTTTCATCAAACGAGCCGTCCTCTGACCTGGAGGAATAACATTGATCTCTATGAGCAGCCAGCTCTGAGTCAAGTCAGGGACCGTCTACAAAGTGCAATACTGAAAACAGATGTATTAGTTAATGAGAGTTGATGAGACTTTCAAGGCTATAGAGTCGTTCTCTATCCAACCCAAAGAACCAAAGCCATCCGTAAACTAAGGGAAGGAGAAATGAGTTAGCTGTGAGGTGCCTGACAGTCAGCCTGGTGAGAACATTTCACACTCACTGTAAAAGGCTCAGGACCATTAGAAGCTGTTTTTCCATTTCACTGTGCTTTGTTTATGACCATGTGAGAGCTCAGGAGGAACAGCACATGTGCAAGAGTTTCTTTGCGTCTGTTTGTACCTCATTGGGTTTACAAGCTGCCCACAGACATGGAGGGTTTGGAACGGCTTGAGGAGGTTCACTCTAATTACTTTCACTGGTGATTCACATTGAAAACGGACTGCGTGGTAAACAACCACTGACTAATGGGTGACCAAAGTACGTTAAGGCTGGGCTAAACATGTCTGGATTCCAGGCATGGGTATGTAATGTCTAATCTGTCATGATGACAGATAAAATGCATTTCAGAAGGAAAGTATGTGATGTATCTGCAAACTCCCTCTGTTAAAAGCCAGATGTAGAAGCTCCGCCAGGGAAACCACCCTGACATGGAGTGACGTGTACTTTCTAAAGAATTTGGTAGCACTCAGGGGCGAGGAGAGCTACTGAGATACAACATGGAGATCACAACACAGTGTAGACTATGGTAGACAATGTTGTTATTGAGGACAAGCAAAGCCATTTCCAGTACAACCCTTCTCCTCATAGCAGTCGCCTCTCTGAAGGAAAGGATTGAGGGTACAGGCTTCACAGACACTGAACAGTAGGTGAAGGAATTTGGTGATGTGATTAGATATCAAAGTATGACAGAAGAAAGAGAAGCATCATCCTGATATCCTGCCTTTTTATTTGTTCCTCAATATCCTTGCAGTACCCTCACACAGCACGCAAACTCTCCCCATCGCTGGAGTCACCATAAAACAAGAGGAAAGGGAAACAGAGACAGAAAGAAAAGGAGAAATACGATAAAAAAGAGGCTTTGGGTCGGTGGTCCAGCTTCATTCCCCAAAGACTTTCTCAGAGATGCCTCTCACATCATACATACGATGAGTATTAGGGCCACATTGAGGAAACCAAAAAATCTAAAATTTCGAAAATAAAGTCATAATATTATGGGAATTACAAAAGTAAAATTAAAGTAAAATATTACATGAACCAGTCCAACAGGTGAAAGGACAGTCAGTGGCAGCTGCTGTTTGTCTGGTGTTGCGTCCAGGAGAATGTGACGGACGTATGTACGGACGGACTGACAACCTTAAAACAATATGCCTCCGGCTCTGACTGTTGCCGGTGCGGAGACGTAAAAATGCACAATTATGTACCTGTATTCGAAACATCTACGTATCACATTTTAGTGATATATAAGCTGAAGTTGAAAAGGATAAGTAATGTGCAGCCATAGATACAAGATGCATTTGACTTAACGGATGCAACATGTTCAGTATATCAATGTTATTGCTGCATTAACTCTTGACATTTCCTCACTCCGTCAGTCCTCTGACAGGGTGTGACCGGGAGCAGTAGCTCTGGACTGACCTGTGCCATGAAGACCCAGAAGGCCCGAGATGTTAAACCAGCGTCACCTTCCTGCCGACGGAAGTCTCGCTTCACCTTACGAGGCAGGAAGAAGAAGGACGGGGTGATCCGAGGCAAGCTTCGCATCCGCTCGCTGCCCGGAGCCTTCCTGGTGCTGGGGGTGATTGTAGTGGTGGTGGGCACTGCTCTGGCTGTGGCGGGTTACTGGCCGTACCGGATATCCAGGTCGTCCATCCTGGGAGCTGCAGAGAGAGAAAGTATCTCTGAGTCACAGAGTTCTGGTTGGAGTCTGGGAGCTAAGGACCTCTTGTCCACAGCCAGCCTCATCCACAGTGAACGAATGAAGCTGCTGGGGCCTGTCATCATGGGGGTGGGACTCTTCATCCTCATATGTGCCAACACAGTCCTGTATGAGAACAGGGACAGAGAGACTCAGATGCTGCTGGCTCAGATGCGCAGTGTTATCTGCTCTGTGTCTGCGGCCGTGCCCTCGGCGGACCTTAAGGAAATAGCAGCAGCCAACTCGATGGCCAAACACTACCAGTGGGTGAGCAGTTTACCAGCTGCCCATCTCAACATCCTCTGTCTGCAGCAGCTGGCCAGCTCTGAGCCGCTACTCCAGACCAGACATCCCAGAGACCACGAGGACAGTGTGGAGGGCATCTACCAACAGGCTGTGCTCCAGACAGAAGCCATCCACCACCAGGAGTCAGAGCCGCCGCCCTCCCTCCACTCCTCCCACTCCAACTCATGCAATTCCAGTCAGACAGACTTTAACACGCAGTCTGGGGCTGAGCACAGGGGCGGCGTCAGCTTCAATCTGCATGCCACCCCGCTCGTCAAGCTCAACAACTGCCTGGTGTCTGCCAGCTCCATGTCCACCCTGGGGGTGGACGAGGTGGATATCCCGGCCGCTCAGCCGAGGCGCTGCTACAGTATGAGCTACAGGACTAAGCCTTATGTAGCCGGAACTGGTGTGTGCCTGGAGGAAGGCCTCCACACACCCGCAGAGGAGGGTCAGAGAAATCGGGAGAGGAGAGAGGCGGGCTCACAGGTTTGTGTCAACATCCGGGGGCAGGTGGTGGATGCTGCGGAGGAGCAGGCTCACCGAAGCTGGCCTCGGCTAGACTTGGGCAGTGGCAGACGCTACCTGAAACTAGAGAACAAAGAGGACTCTGTGGACAAACTGCTGGACCAGTTAGAGCAGCAGTGCTCTCAGTGGGATAAGAGCTTTGGCTCTGGGCCTTTCCAGTGATGGTGGGTTTAGTTTCACAGAAATTATATTTTCCCCTGGATTTAAAAACTGCACTATATTTTGTTTTAAATTGTGTGTGAGGCCGACAGAAACTGAGCCCTACATCATTTGGAGTACAGCTTTTCTCACAAGGATCTTCCAATACTTCAGCCTGTTCTCAATCATCAGTGGAATACTGATGCACGGAGCTTACAGTCTTTGCTTGGCTGGATGCAGAAGATGTTTGTACCGTCGAAGGAGAGGAACAATATGCCGATCCCACACTGTCAGAGACGGGGAAAGCAGTCTGACAGGCTGCTCACTTCGGTTTGGGTTGGCAGCAATGCGAGAAATGAACTTGTTTCTCAGTGCCAAAATGCGTTTGCCTGTTTCCAGGACGCGGCGAGCACAACCCAGAGAAGAAGAGACAGAGGGGAGGAGGGAGGGAGGATTGTTTTCACTGTGCAATCACTTTTGAACCAAACTACCTGGAGCCCTGAGCCCATGAAGTGCTGACAGCTCTACGAAAATGGGACTTTTTCCTCAGCTGATGTCCCATATTCCAAATGCAATGCATGGCAGTGATGTACAGTATGTTACATCTTAATACTTATGCAGAGTTATGTCATTGTTGGTTTTATGTGTATAAGACGTAATGATAGTTAAAGGGTTATTCTGGTTTATTACAATCTGGGTCCTATTTTCTTACATATGGCCGTTACTCCTGCAGAATCCATGGGGACAACGTCGCACTCACTAACTCCATTGCTGAGGCCTGGGAACATGACGACCTGGGGCCAGATGCATAAATGATGCGTACACACAAAAACCATGCGTACGCAACTCCCCACACATAAATTGGTCTTTGTAAACACAGACTGTGTCACCTCACTCATTCCTTTGAACAGTGAAAATACAAAATTAGCCGAGACACGTAATTTAACGTGAAATAAAATAAACAACTTCACGGAGCTTCATTCATTATCATCATTATAAGTTTTACTGTTCACACAGCAATAACAATTTAACAATCGTAAACAGAAATAATGTGTTTTTTTCAGCATCGTTTCATATCCTGATCATTTATTGTGAGTCATTCTGTAATTCTGATCACAGTGTTGGAGCCTGGAGCCTCATTAAGTAAATTGATACCTCCTATCTGTAAGGCCAGGAACACACTGACACCTCGCAGCTGGCGTCTCACCTATTCAATCAATTAATCAATATGAATCAGTATTTTTATATGTTAACATCCAGCAGCTCAGTGGTGCAGCGGTCAGCACCTTCCTCTCACAGCAAGAAGGTTCTGGGTGCATGTTGTTGTCTGGGTGCTCTGTTTTCCTGCCTCACTGGCAACTCTAAATGAATGGGAGTGTGAGTGTTTGTGTGTCTTTATGTGCCAGCCCAGTGATTGTCTGGCAAATGTCAGTCAGCACTGGCTGCAGCCAAAAAAAAATCAACTGATGCAGCTTTAAGTTAAACAAGATTAAGAACCTGAGCATCCGATGACTGTACTTAAGGGCAGGAACACAGTGGTGTGTGGTGTGTGTGTGTGTGGCGGCTGCAGCATGTCTCGGTTTCCATTTCGGTGCACATGTTAACAGGTTAGAGTGACACACTGCCTGTGTGATCTAGAGATTCAGCATCTCACCTGTACCATAGCAGCAACATCACATAAAACTGACTCCTTCCACTATAGTTTCTATGTCTAGGCTGAATCTGAATGTGACACGGACATGAAAAAATATAATTATATTTTTAACCATTTCAGCAGCTGCATGTGGAGACAGAGACGTTTTAGTGACGTTTTCTGTCAAAAATAAATTAGAAATGAATTTATAATGAAAAAAAATCCAACATTCCAGTGACCTGTAAACTCTCTGCAGAAAGACAGAGCTGCAGCAGCAGAGACGCAGCACTTCTGTCTCATCTTTCTTCTCTGTGTCTGATCACTTGTGGCACAGACAGTGTTTTTTTATGCAAACTGATTGATTAAGGGAGGGTCTTCATCCATTTATGGCCCAATTTCTCAATGAGTGAGATTTATAAAGTGGAGCCATGAGAACACATGGCTAACTCTGATGAAAAGAATGTGTATGTATATTTCTGGTTTTGTACATAGTTTTAATCATGAATCTACACAGAATTTTATGCATCTGGCCTCTGATTTTTGTAGTGGACTCTGGGTAATAATTATACGGTTTTCCTTATGGACAGCACACACACACACACACACACACACACACACACACACACACACACACACGTACCATGAGCACCCCAACACAGCACATGGCCAGTCACCTTCACACACAGTTATGCAGTTATGTTTATTACATTAACCACGTTTTAGCTCTGTGTGCTGCTCTGCCTACACCAGCATATTTTACTCATCTTTAAGGGTAAGAACAGAAACCAGATGTGAGTAAAGAAACCATCCTCCTACTGAAGGAACACAGAAATGAGAATCATATGCAGCTCAGAGCCGCAGCCGGGATCAAACAGCTAAACACGGCACAGTATGCCAGATGCAAATCTTCTCCCTAGACCACCACTCTGCCCTCCTGGACAAGATCTGAGTCAGCAACCATAAATCATAGCATGTTCAGGTCTGTGTCATCCATGTAATGAACTTAGTTCAGTGGTTAATGTTCCTCTCAGACATGTTTTAAACTCTGTTAAAGTATTTTGTTTAGCTTGATTTTCTCACATAAAAAGTGAAAAACAAGCTCATCTCCTCTTACTTCCTGATTGAGAAACCTGGATCAGGCCTTGAGCCCCGCCCACCACCTGCTGTCTCCAGGTGGACAGGTGAAAGAGCAGAGAGCATCAAGATGGTTAGAGGAGGAAACATCAGAGAGACTCAGCCACATGTTTGAGCCTCAGTCAGACCCAGACTCAGATGAGGAGTCTGAGACCAGAACCAGAGACTAGCAGACGGATCACAACAGTTAGCGTAGTTAGCATCTTTTATTTGTTTATGTTGTTTGTTAGCTTGTAACTGGCAGTGGCTGATACAGTGTTAGTGGTTGTGCTAATGCTTCAGGTTTCAGTTTTATTTAGCCCCGCCCCCCATTCCCACAAGTTGACAGGATTGGTTCCTTAGGTTTGTGACATATGAAACCCTGGCTGTCTGAATATCTGTGTTTATGAGACTGTCATTGGCTCACTGCAGTTTATCCATGGATGCTTCCACATAAGTTCGGTGGTAACACTGTACTTCAAGTCCCCCTGTTCAGTACATTGACATTTTATAAATGGTTTACAACACACTGCAATGTAGTGAGCGGATATAAAGTGTCAACAACTACAACTCCTTGTTTGAATGATAAAATTTGTCTTCATAGAAGTTACAATTGCTGACAAATACTGTATACAAGTAGTATAAGCACTTAAAATGTCATTATTGCTGTCTATACCTACATTATTATAAACTATTTATTAAATGTTTATATATGGCTTATAAATGCTTAACAGGGGAACTTCAAGTTACAATATGTAACTTTTCCACATGAAAATGTATTTTTTGTTGAGTTCTGTTCTTAAATTTTCCCAAATGTTTCCATCAATTCTCAAACCAGAGAAATCTGTGATTTTAATCATGGTAACGTTTCATTGGCCGCCTGTCAGTGACATCATATCCTCTGAGATCATGTGTCAGTGTGTTTGTCTGACAGAAGCTCAACATTGACTTTTATCTAGTTTTAAGCCACATACACTTTTGACACCTTGGTGGTTTTCAGCTCTATATTTGAAGCAGATGAAGGATTTTAGTCGTCGGACGTCTGGATCTGAAGTTATCAGAGAAACAAGCTGACATAAGTTGCATACTGTGTGTTTAAAGTGTTACCACCAAACAGTGTCACTAAACTGACCCTCTGCTCATGTTTCATGACTCTTTCTAGTGACGTCATTGTTCCCAGACCTCAGCTACAAGTGAACTTGGTGTTATTGTCACCAATTAGAAAGACAAAAATAAGACAAAGCTGCATTATCTTTAATAACGAATGAGAATTTCTCTTTGTTGTCCTGCTCCTGGTCGTCTCAGATATCAGCTCGTAATGAAAGCAGGGGCACAGCCTCCTGCCCGTCCCCTGTTGATCTTCTCCTTTCAGAATGCACCCACTATTTATGAGGAGGCCCTGCCCACTCACATCCAGCCCCGCCCCTCCGCCCTCCCCAACCTTTGATCAAATGGACAGAATTGATTGTGCAGACCAGGCGGGTCCGCAGCTCTGGTTAGATTTAGTGAGGTGATCAGTGTTACTGCATACAGCTGGGTGTGTGTCATAGAGGAGAGGGAATATAAATCAGAGTATCACAGGCCCCTGCCCCCTTACCTCCTTCCCCCCCTTTACACCCTAGTGCAGAGGTGACCCCTCCTTGTTTGAATCGACAGTCTCTCTGGTTTTCTTTCTGTCTGTGCTGCCTGTTCTGTATGCCATGTGACCCTTTGTGTTCTGTATGTATACCAAGCAATATGAGCGGTCTGACAGAACAATCAGCGGCTGTGTCGACCACATGATTAAACAACATTGCCATGCCTTTGTTGCAAATATAAAGCGAAACAAAAGCAGTTCCTGTTTACTGTCATCTCTCTTATTCACACTGTCAAGGTAACGGCACCTGGTTGTATATGTATGCAGCAAATCATCTCGCCGCGCTCGCTCCTGTGATCCCATCCCTCACCCCGAAGGAGACTTTGCATTCCATCCATATTCCTTAGGCTGAAAACATCCAGCTGGGACCAGCGAGCGCTGCGTTCACTTTATCACCTGATGAATGAAAATGGATTTTTTTCCCTCTCCCGCTCTACAGCACCAGCCTGATATTTTGAAGCAGTCCTGAGCAGGGGTGGGGAGGGGTGGCGGTGGGGAATTCCCCAGTTGCAATTATTCTCAGCAGAGCCTCCTGCAGGTTCCAAATTTTTCCCTTCTTATTAGATTTTATGGTTCCTTCCGGGCAGGTATGCAGTCCCCCGCGATCTCTTTTTATTTAATTGGTCATTTACAAGATGGCTTCTGGGTTCGTACCAGCTCGTAAAGCGAGCAGGCAGGACCTCCTGCCCTCTGTGGCAAAAGCACAGGAAGGTAGAGGATTGCGAGGCTGCAGGAGGGCAAGAGGGTGCAGATGTGAAAACTCTGGGCTCATAATTTTCAGACATCTGCTCAGCTGATCTGTCGAGCTTTCACCACACTGCCAACCACAATAGAGCAGAACCAGGAAAGAGAGGTTCCTGTAATGAATGACTCTATTGATTCAAGATGCAGCCAGGACCATTTGCACTAGCATGTGAATGTTGCTCTCCATCAGTTAATATACCGAACACATTAGTATTTGGCAAGCAGGGATTAGTGAAACAGTGGCATCTCTAAAATGAAGCAAGAGCAGGATAATTATTTCCACATTGTCTGAAGCTTGTATTTTCACTCTGTTTATCAATGTTTCAACTCATTTCCTACCGAAGCTGTACACGTTGCCGCTGACGCCATTCTAAAGCACACATGGGAGTTT